CAATTTCAATTGCCTAAGTGGTGTCTGATAACAAGAGGATACTAACTTGGCTAGAAGGCTGAGGAAGTACACAGACACCTTTCAAATGCAGATTTCAACATTTTAGTTTCTAAATGTGGATTTCTTTTATATTATAATGACCCCAGGCTCTAGCTCTTTACTTATCTCCTTAATCTCCTCTAGCGCTGTTTCTACTTTCCCTTATTCTAATCACTTGTTTAACTAGTGTAATTGTTTCCCCACCACTCCAACCCGTAAGGTGAACAAAGGATTTAATAGTTCTACTTGTAAAACAAAGATAGTGGCTTTTTTTTCCTTCCCAGGGTTAAGGCAATCCCCAGTAATAAATCTGGCATTAAAGTTGGCTCAGGAATGCCATTTGATATACTAGTATAGTAATCCAATTACACTTTTCATTACGGTAAAGTAATGTCATCAAAAAACTAGGGGGCATTACAAGCCGAAGGAATGTTTCCAATGGGATTGCCCAAAAAGTTCCCCTCAGAGAAGGAGGAGGAGGATGGGAGGAGTGGCATTGGTCAGGATGCACTGGACTCATAAATTCATACGTTGAATTGAAACCCCCTTGTGGAGTTACTTAAAGATAATAAAAAGAAAATGAAAAGTTTCCCTTGGAGGTCTTCATCCCTTTGGTTTTTACTCTGTTCTCTCTCCCAGATATATAACTAGCTCCCATTACAAAATAAAAAACAAGGTCATGCTTATCCCAAATTCTTCATACTTCTCTCACTCTAAACCTAATCACTTGTGCAAATTACGCCCTCTATTTCCCATCTGGGAAAAAGGTGAGGTTGTGGAGATTCAGCCTTGAATGTTTTTTTTCCCTGAATTATAGATAAAAGGAAACAACAACAGTAAACAAAAAAATATACCACTGGTATCCAACTGGTCTTCAGGAATGTTTGCTCCTTTTTGGCCATTTTTTAGTCTGTGCAGGTATTCAGTGATAGAAGCCAAAGTGACAGAAGGCTCACTGTCTCCAACAAGTTTCCAGAAGGAGTTCCCGCCTGGCAGGAAGGGATCCCTGCTGGGTGCTCCACAGGCCTCTATTGGCAGCCTGGCCTTCCTCACTGCTCAGTTCATCCTTCCAAGCCCTTCCCAGCAGCCTGTGACATATTTCTCATTTCTCTCTGCATCACAGGCTCCATAAACATTATTAGCTCTTCATCTGACTGACCTCCGGGGCATTTCAATACCTCTTTTGGAGCTGAGTAGCAGTGTTCCCAAATCTAGAGCAATGGACCTAAAATTAAATGGGCTTTAATTACTTAATGGGGGGAGGGGAGCGGAGCTCCTAATTGCTTGCTATTTTAATACATTAATATTAGTTTTAATGAGGTGGCTTGTTTATTTATTTTTTTAAATTAGACTGCATGTCAAAAGCTGAAGAACCAGCTTTGACTGAGATGCGGGTCATTTGGGGCTGTAAAGAAGGCAAACTGTTTTCACCTGAGAGCAGTACCTTCTTGTGGAGTAACAGATTGTGTGTCTGCATTTTCTAAATTTTAGTGTCATGTAGGGGCTTCACTTCCAGGATTTCCTCCCATTATATTTATGAGATTGACAGCTTTATTCAGTCAAAAGTTCAGAGAACTATAGGTCACTGTGCAGCTTTTTCTCAAATACAAAGAGCATACTGGAAAGAATTGAGTTCCATTCAAAAGCTGTAGTGAGTTATTGCTGTTGTTGTTGTTGTTTTTCTCAAAGGCAATGGTAGAAACAACACAGATTCCCTCAGCTTAGTTCTACACAAATAACTAGATCAGCTAAGCAGTTTAATTTAATCAGTTGACAAATGGTTAGCATTGCCTTTGGGCTAGAGGGATTAAATTAGGATTCACCACTTTTGTTGTTACTTTTCCTTTTACTCAGGGTTGTAGGAGGCAGGTCTGGAACTCCCTACATAGCATAGGCTGGCCTAAAACTGGTGATCTTCCTGATTCAATTTCCTGATTGCTACGATTATAAGTATGCACCATTAAGAGAGGAGGGTTCATAGTTCTTAATGAAGGAGATACACAACACCACTGTTTGGCCATAGGGCATATTTTTATGGATGTAGGGACTTAACCCTATGATGGGATCAATGACTTGAGAAGATTAGGAGAGGTAGGCTGGCACATTTCCACTCTCTTACATGTGATGCCCTCTTCTGCGTTATTATGGTGAAGCCAGAAGTCCCTGGCCAGAGGCTCATCCACAACTTAGATTTTTCCCAGTCTCCAAAGCTATAAGAAATGTTTCTTTTCTTTCTGGGTTACCCAATCTCAGGTATTCTGTTATAGAAACTGAACGGATCTACCACATCCCTGCCAGGTGACCACGTGAAGGCAGGCAGGCACAGGAGAAAGATTATTACAAGGTTTATTAGAGGAGCCATATTTCTCCCGATGAGAGAGCGTATGACAGCCTCCACTATCTAGGTAGCAGCAGGGTCTTGGGGTAGGAAGTGTGGTAAGTGGGAGCTCAGGTGGGTTTGGGTGGAGAGAGGGAGGGGCCAGCTGTATGGCGGAACTCCAGGTCAGGGAGAAGCTCCAGGATTGGGTGGAGCTGAGGACCAAAGGTGGGCATAATGCTTGCAGAAACACCAACAGACTAAAATCAAAGGTCTACAATAATAATAGCTAAAATAATGATATACATAATAAATATTAAAGAGGATTAGAGAAGTGGAATCTTTGTACATTGCTGGTAGGAAAATAAAATGGTTGAGGCACATTGGAAAATAGTCTTACAGTTCCTCCAAATGTTAAACAGAGAATTTTTGTATGACATTATAATTGAATTCATAGCTGCATACCCAAAAGAACTGCAAATGTGTTCAAACAAAGGCTTATATACTGAAGTTCATAGCACTATTACACATAATAAATAGAAAGTAACAAATCAACAAATTATGGTTTATTGATAAACAACCCAAAGATCCATCATTTTGTTTATGTGGTATACCACATAAACAAAATATGGTATACCACCACATTTATAAGGCAAGTTGGAAATTATAGCAAATAATGGAGATAGTGGTAATGAAGGGGTATTGGAAAACTTTCCATATTGTCCACTCAGTTATTCTTTTAGTAAGCCTAAAATTGATTTAAAAAAAAACCAACAAGGTATTTTAAAATATAAAATACTGATATAGTAGAAAATTATCCCAGCTGTGGAAAGGAATGGAGTACTGAGACATGTTACACTGGTAAACTAGAAAACATGACCGTAAGTTCAAGAAGTTTCACACAAAAGGCCACATAATGTATGATGGTGTTTGCATGAAATACCAAGCACGGGAAAATCCAGAGAGATAGGGCATGGGCTAGCGGCAGTAAGGCTGAGGAGAGGGGAGTGAAAAGTGGATATGGGGCTGCTAATGGATATGGGGCTTTGTGTGGCACATAGAAGAATATTTTGGAGCTGGATAAGGGTGAGGCATGTGAATAGACTAAAAGCCACTGAGTTGTACATCCTGAGTGAATTTCTTGATGTGTAAACTATATCTCAATTTTTAGAAGACTGAATTTCAATTTAATAATTAATTTGCAGGAGAGCAAGAGTGAGAGCAAGTAGGAGAATGAGAGAAGAGACAGAAGCAGTCCTGGGCTTTGGATACATAAACTAACAAACTGATTAGCTCATTCTGTTTTAAGGATTGAGGATACCTCTGACTGTATACATTCCCTAGTTTCCTCTTTAACACGCCATCTTTGCTTCCTCATTATTTTTTATGCTTTTACTTTTTCATAGTACACCAAAGGGTCATACAGTTTAGGTTTTTCTGTTAGATCAAATGACACTGTCTGTGTTTGGCCAAAAGTAAGACAAAGAATAATTCCTCATGAAAACTGTGCACAGCAATTCTTCAGAAAGTACATGAGATGCTAGCATCCAGTTTAAGAGGACAATGAACCAAGTCTTGGTTTCGTTAAATAAAACCATCTGTCGTTCCTTATATAACGTTTCATGAGACAAAACTTAGAAGACAAATGAGAAATAAAGACTCCTGTAAGCTACGGATCTGTTTTCCTCAGGCTTGTATATGCGTTATATACATATAGTGTAATTGTAATGGTTAAAAGAATATAATAGGGAGGTTGTACCTAAATGTCATTGCTTAGGCCTTTTGACTTTAATCAATAAGACTATATTTGCTTGTATTTCTGAGATGCATAACATTTACTTACATATTTCAGATTTTGACAACTCACCTATTCTTTTTTTTTTTTTTTTTGGTCAGTCGTGGGGCTTGAACTCTGGCCTTGGGCACTGTCCCTGTGCTCTTCAGCTCAAGACGAGCTCTCTACCGCTTGAGCCACAGCGCCACTTCTGGTTTTCTAGTGGTTTATTGGAGATAAGAGTCTCACGGGCTTTCCTGCCCAGGCTGGCTTTGAACCATGATCCTCAGATCTCAGCCTTTTGAGTAGCTAGGATTACAGGCGTGAGCCACCAGCGCCCAGCTACAACTCACCTATTCTAATGCTCATAGCATTCTATTCATTGCAGTAGTTATTTTCATTTCACCTATGGCATCTAAGGATTTTAAATTACTGAATGTAAACACATATGACATCACTTAAAAAGAAAAAAAATTCATGTATGCCCAGCTCTACAGATTCCCATTGCTTTTTTTTTTTTTTTTTTTACAACTTATGGTAACTTTAGATAATGTCAAGTAATGTCTTTTTATTTTATAATTTGTTAGAATTGGTTATAGAGTTTAAACATCTGATAGGCCATCTGCCTTTTTATACTTGGTTCCTTTTTTTAAAAAAGAAATTTCTTAAAAATGGATGCACACCTCACTATGCTTAATTACTAACAAATATTACAGCAAATTCTCTATCTCCCTGAAAAGTATGTCTCAGTACTAGTATAGTCTCAGTGATCTTTATCTTGATAGACAGGTGTTTTGCTTCCAATGGGAAGTCTTCCCAGCATTTTAATCTGATTAAAAAAAATACCTATGGAATAATAAGTACACTTACCTGGCTTTACAAGGCCTGCCTTTGATTCCTTCTTATGTCGAGATGTCTGGCTGTGGCTGTTTCCCTCACCAACCATTGCAATTGTGCATTTCTTTCTGGTAAAGTCTTCATCACTTCCAGGGCAAAAGCCAATGGGACTGTTTCCAGTGTCTGATGGCGTCTTCACAGGAGACACTGACTGGCTACTAGGACAGCCTGTGTCATCTAAGAGAGAGCAATTGTTGTGTATTTAATATGGAGGAGAAAATCAAAGATGATAATTAGATGCCACATGTGTAACACACACACACACACACACGCACCCAAGTGCTCTGCTTGTGAAGTTCAGGTTAACTACAGTGCATGACCCTGCTTTGATGACTCTCCTTTCATTTTTCCAAATTTTAGCCACTCATGTTAACAAAATATCAACTATTTTAAGGGAATACTTTCCCTTCCTGTTTTAAAATATAATTGTATTGTTGTTATTAAGATATTACACAAAAGTATTAACATTTCATAAGTCAGGTAATCAGTATATTTCTTTTTTGGACAATGTCACTCTTCCTTTGTTTTACTCAGTTTTCCCCTCCTATCCCTGCCTACAAATTACATAGATAATTTTCTACATAGTGTCTTATTAAATAACATGTTGCATTTGCTCATCCTTCTTCTTTCAGGGGATACTTTCAAGGTAAAATAAATGAGCTTTCTGGTGGTCAAAAAATTTTATTTTGGAGCTAGGAATGTTCCTTAGTGGTAGACTGCTTGCCTACTATGCATGGAGCCCTGGGTTCAATTCCTCAGCATCACATAAACAGAAAAGGTGGGAAGTGGTGTGTGGCTCAAGTGCTACCCTTGAGAAAAAAAAAAAAAAAAGCTCAGGGACAGTGCCCAGGCCCTGATTTCAAGCCCCAGGACAGGCAAAAAATAAAATAAGAATATGTGTTTGGATATGTGGTATAATTTTGGGTGATATAATTCTACAGGTTTTTGTATGGAGTTAGAAGTAAAATGTTCATTAAAACAATTCAAGATCACTAGTTATGAAAATAAAGCTACATGAATACTGCTGACCTTACCCAATTTTTCATCCCTTGACCCATCAGTTGGTTAATAGAGTTTTCTCAATTAAGAACTCTGGCTTTAGAAGTTCAAAGAAGTCACATCACATACACATCAATTACAGCCATTTCTGTCTAGCATAGTGATAAAATGAAAATGTTACATCAGAAACACTCCTCTAACTTTCAAGTTTCAGATGATTATTAAAAAGGATCATTATCTTAATTCAGTATATATGGTATGAAGTGACCCCAAAACACTAGATACTTCTTAAGCAACAGCAAATTCATACTGCCAGTGTCTACAAATAATTTCCGAACTTATCAAAGTGGCTTGATGCTCACCTGGGCCATCTCACTGGCCCAGCTGGTCTTCCTGACAACCATGTCTCCATCTCAGCCACTTCTCCCATGTGTGGCCCGTCTGCAGTCAAGCTAGCAGTGGCAGCGTGTGGCCGCTGCTCCTACCAGCCCCGCGATGCGCCATCCAGACGCACCCCTGGCCCCAGACCCTGCTCAAGAACCACCCCGCCTCGCTACTGCTCCCGCTTTTAGTTCCTGCCCGGGCACACTCAGGCAACCCGAGCCACTCCCCCACCTGGACCCAAGCCTACCACGGAGCCCCTGCCCTACCGGACCGCCTTCTGCTCACTGACACACAACAGGAGGTTCCAGCTGCTCCTCTCTCCCAGACAGGCAGATTGGCCAGTGAGGGCCCGCAGGCCCAGCAAAGGGAAGTGATTAGTGCTATGAGCACCGCAGCCCAGGCTGCTCAGATAAATGTGATAAATGTGCTTAAATAAGGACAATCATATAGAAGTTTAGAGCCAATATGTATCTACTCAACATGTTCAATTAGTGGTAAATTGTTGTTCTTCATATTTTTTATTTATGAAAATATTTTGCTGCCAGTTATACAGGTGTTAACTAGACATGCGAAGAAAGATATATAGCACTAATAATTTTAGAACTATTGTGTTTTTATGAATATGAAGGGCACTGAAATAATTTGCCAGCTATCCAGGGCTATCTTAAAACTCCATGGCTGAAACAGAAGTAGATATGAATAAAATATAGATTACCTGAATTATGCCTAGAATCCACGCAAAAAAGAATTGCTACTGTTTCATATTTGGTTTCTATTTCATTTTTTATTATGAAATATCCTAGTTCCTGGATCAAAGTGAACTTGGCACTCACATCCTGATTTATTTCTTTCTTTTTAAGTTTTTGGCATAGTATAGGAGCTCCATTAGTCTGTCTCTGGACATGCTGTTTGATATATACTACTCATGCTACTGAATGTGCTGCTCCTTTAAATATACTCTGAACTTCCTGAACACTTGAAGGCCATCTGGTCCAGGGTTAGTGTGGCGAGGCCTTCTGTGGGTGGCTATGACTCATTCTTTACTATCCCTGCCTTTCTTTCTCTTTTGCAGGCCCCAGCTTCAACTCCAAGAGGTCTGAATCTAAAAGTGCAAGGCTGCTAATTATTCAGGCACACTCCTGAAATTTTAAAAGGTGTGACAAGTCTGTGCATGGCTTCAGAGAGGAACTCTTTCCTGATTCCTAGTCCAAAACTTGAATGAAGTCTAATCATTCAAACATTTACCTATTTCAATAATCATCATTTTTATGATCATATGCACATAGCTCTTGAGCTCCTGCAATCCTCTCCTAAGAATATCCTCCTTTGATCTCATGGGTCAATATTACCATGGAACAAAAGGTGAACCACTAGAACAAAAGGTGAAACTCACTAGACACTATATTGGAAATGAACTATACAACACGGTGGGGAGGGAAGTTGAGAGGGAAAAAATGAGAGAGAAGGAGGAAGGGGTGGCACTGTTCAAAAGGAAACATTCATTACCTAACTTATATAACTAACTTCGCTGTACATCACCTTTACAAGAACATTTACAAAACCTAAAATAAATACCTTAGACTAAAAAAAGATTTGCCTACTGCCCTTAAAATTATTTCCTTAGGAGTCAGTTCCATAAATTACCCTAAATAAGAATATGTTACCCTGAATTTTCAGCATTAGTCATGTCAAGCATTAGGTATTTAAAGTCTGGATAAAAACTGACAAGTTTAGCTTTGAGTGGTAGCAGCATGCGAAAGGCCACAGCGATTTTTCACTTAGGGTACATGCCTTACCTGCTGCAGGTATTTATGCTCCCCAGGGGCAGGGAATGAGAGTATGACATCTAAATCAATATTGAACTTTTGGAACCTATTAAAACATGAATTGCTGCTGCATACATGTATGTCTCTTTTTACTTTCCACTACTGTGCTTCAGATGAAGCAGGAAGACAATCGTTTATTTTTTTGTTTAAAGGAATATGTATCAAGTTCAGAAGCTCAAGCAGCCGACCAGTATTGTACCCAAGTCCCATCTTGGTGGAGCTTATAAATTAGCCAGAGGAGTTAGCATTTAAACATCTATGTACCCAAGAAAATCAATGAGTTCTGAGAACAGTCTGGGATAGGTGTCTGTTTTGTTTAATGGGACCAACAATAACCAAAAATAGTCTAGCTCACAAAAGGCAGGATCGTTAATTGTCTTACTAGAGAGGACACACTTTAAATCATGCAAAGTAAGACCCCAACATAGACACAGAACTTCATGCTTTAGTCATCTGATCATCCCTAGCCCATGGGAGATTTTACTCTTTGAAGAAGTGGTTATCTTTTCAACAAATCTTATCTAGGCTCCTTCTCAGCCATCCCTTCCCATCCCCGCCTCTTCGTGGCACAGGTGGAAACTGACCATCATTTCAGATGAAGATAATAGTCCTCTTCAAAATTCTGTACAAATATTCTCAGTTCAGGGAAGCTGTAGTAATGCCTGCACCTGAGACCTGCACCTGAGAGGCTGAAGAGGGGAGATGAAGAATTTGAGGCCAGGTTGTACTATACAGCGAGTCTGTCTCGGGAAATGAAGGGCTGTGAGTATAGCTCAAGTGCTTGAGCACTTGCTTAACACATGGAAGGTCCTGGGTTTGATTCCTAGCACAGGTAAAAAAAATTCTCAGTTCACATTACTCTGAGCTTCTAAGACTACTGAAACCAAAAAGTTTCTCTTTAGAACTTACATGTGATAAACTACATGTAGACTGAGAATACATTTACGAGATGCACTCTTTGAGTGTGCTTGTTTCCTGCCACTACCCTGACTATTACTTCTACCTACAGAACCTGTGGCTTTGCAAGCATGGTGCTTTTATAATTCTGGCATTTGTAAGTTTATATTAATTGTTAAAAAGTTATCCAAAGACAAAAACTTCTAATTGGATAGAAATGAGGGAATTATTTCTGGGCAGAAAATGAGAAAAAATCCTAAATGATCTGTCCAAGAAGCGTATGGTACCTCACAATTCCAGAAGAATGGTTAGGCAGGTAAAGACGTTTCAGTTTGGTTTTGTCATGAGGAAAGCTTTGCAGCAAGATTTTTAGAAAGAAGATATAAAAGACTTGGTCTACTGGAGAGAGAGGAATTTAAACATCCAGATTTTTACCATTGGAAATTTACATTTCTTTCTCCACTGTTTATGGTAAGTATAACTTTACTTAAAAAATCAGGGGCATTCTACATGTTTTATGCAGTGTGATGCATTTAAAAAAAAAATGAGGTAGTTTCCTTATAGGGAGAAGTATTTGGTATCTCTATTTGGTATTTGATGGGCCCAGGAAGGTCCCCCTACCCCCAGAGGAACTCAGGCAAAAGCAACCATCACCAAGGTGTAATTTAAATGGTCACATCGGGACTTGGAAGGTGGCTCAGTGGTAGAGTGCTTGCCTTGCATGCATGAGGCCCTGGGTTTGATTCCTCAATACCACATAAGCAGAAAAAGCCAGAAGTGGCACTGTGGCTCAAGTGGTAGAGCACTAGCCTTGAACTACTGCTCAGGGACAGCGCCCAGGCCCAGAGTTCAGGCCCCACTACCAACCAAAAAAAAAAAAAATCACCTTGTACAACAAGAGGAGACTAATTAGTAGTCATTTCCCCTATACTCAGCAGTAGGTTCTTCTGTTGCTATTCTTGGTCATTTGTTTACACTCTGTTGATATAAGAAGAAAAGACTGTAGAAAGGGTACTCCACACCTAGAACCTTAGAAGTTGTTACTAAGAAGTACTCTAAGAAAGATACCAT